GTCTCCGCTGAGCTACAGCCCTGCCCACGGACACCTCCTCTTCCCAACCCCACAGCTCTTGCCTCTTGCATGCTGCTTATGGCCTTTCGGAAGCACTTTCCCTCGAGTCGGAGGTTGTGTTGGCTGTTCCTGCTCAGTGTCTGCTCTTGGTTCACCCCAAGTAAAGGTGGGGTTAGGGAAACACTCCCAAAGGGAAGAGGGTGAAAATGAACCTGAGCCTAGGGCCTGGATGTGAAATGCCCCCCAAGAGCCACGTCTCGGGCTTGGCTGCAGTCTGCGTGCAGGAGACCGCTGGGGAAAGCTCAGGGAAAAGGTGTGGATGCCAGGGCAGGTGTCCCCCGAGTCGGGCCAGCTTGCTGTAACAAAGAACTCCTCCTTCGCTCTTCCCCGGCCCCGTTTCCGGGTGATCTGAACAGAAGGAATACATCCAGTCAGCGCCCATCTCGGTGTATCCCGAAAGGAGGTTTGTAAGGGGGTGAAGTCACCTCTGCGCCAGCCCGCAGCTGCTCCTCGCTGCTCATCTCCTTCCCAGTAGCAGGGTACAACACCCCACCAGTGGTTACTCCATGTGTCATCGTGCTCCATCCTAAATCCCAGCCCCCACTGGCTGTGATGCAGACTTAGGAGGAGCCCGAGGACACGGCGGAAGGCTTTGTCTCCCCTCAAGGAGCGTGCAGCGTTTACGGAGCCGCCCGTACGCAGACCCTGGGGGTCTTCAAGGCCAGGCTGGATGAGGCTTGGAGCAACCTGGTCTGGTGGAAGTGTCCCTGCCCATGGCAGGGGGTGGGACTGGATGAGCTTTAAGGTCCTTTCCAATGTGATTCTGACGCACGCAGCCAGGGTGGGGGAGCCTGTGTCGCTTGTGCCGACAGCGGGCAGACACCGCTCCCACCAGGTGAAAGGGGTTCTGCCCGCCGCTTCCCCAGTGCGTTTGCAGGAAAGCACTAGGGGTTTTGCACGCTTTTTTCAGTTGCGTAAGGGGGGAAAAAGAACCAAAATGAGCCATTTGGGAAAGAAAAACTGGAAGCGAAGCGCACTCTGCCCTGCCGTGCCGAGCTCGAGCAGCTTGGCCGTGGAAGGAGAGGGACGGGCTGCTGTGGGTGCCAACCCCCAGCTGCTGCTGTTGCTGTGCTATCCAGGAGCTGGTGTAACGCTGCCTGGGGCGCAGCCCGGGCTCCTCCTGTGATCACCCAGCTCTGCCAGTTGTATCCCGTGAACCTCCCTTGGGGGTTCCTGGGCACTCCATCCCAGCCTGCAGGGCAGGTGCCGTGGCGGGTATCCGCGCGCAGGTCCCGTTGCTGCTTGCGCACCCCCAGGCTCCGTTTTTCCATAGCGTCAGGGTCACGGCTTCAGGGCAGCGCCAGGTGATGCCTCTATTCCGGATGCGTGTCCCTGGAACTGACACAGGGTCTCTTGGATTGCCCCACCTACTGCCCTCCCTACCAAGAGGAAGGAGAGAATGTTTAAGGGATGGAGAGCGAGAAGCCCTTAAGTCCAGAAAGTCAAAACAAAGCCTGTTTATTAAGTGGTTTCCTTTTACTTGTTTCTCCCCTTTTTTTAAAATAAATAAAGCCTTCAGACGCGTACAAGTGAAACACATCATCCTTCAAAGTGCAGTTACATTTCCACCCCGCTCCCAAGAATCACATAAAGCTTTGTCAAGTCACCCCAAAAA